GGCTGGTGGGTTCAGACTGCTGACCTTTCGGTTAGCAGCTGAACACTTAACCATTGTGCCATCAGGACTTCTTAAAAGAAATGTATGTACTGTTAAATTGTGTGGTATTGGTTTTAGGTGCTTAAGGAATAATTCAGGTAAAGGGAGAATGGGGAAAACTAATTAATCAGTGAAAGCAGATTAATGATCAGGCAGAAATCAAGATAGGCCTTGAAGAATGCATAGGATTCCTGTCATTCTCTGGATGGCACAGCACAGAGGTGAAGAATGTGGCTCTGAAGTCAGAGAGATCTGGATTCGCATCCCATCCCTATCCCTCTCTAACTGTGGGCAAGTGACTCAACCTTTCCATGTCTGTTTCTGCATGGGTAAAATGGGGATAATGGTTAACACTTACTTCATAGAACTGATTAACCAAGGTGATACATATAAGCCTCCCAACATCACTTCAGATACATAGAATGTGATGGGTAATTGGTGCATCATTATTAATCAACCTTCATTTATTTCTACAGCAAATATTTATTGCATGCTCACTATGTGTCAGGGACTGCCATGCTTCCCAAATCAATACCTTGAGCTCTGGTCCCATGGTTTCCACTTACATACAAGACACTTAATCATTATAGTAATAGTAACAGTTGTAGATTCTGAGTGCCTGTTTATACACCAGACACACAGTCTCAGCTAGATGCTTTATTCTCTTCTTTAGTCCTCATAATCATTTTCTGCATTTTATGGAAGCAGGAATTGAGGTGCAGAATTTATGGAGCATGTGCAGGGTCACACAGAGTGTCAAACCTGGGATTTCAAGTGTGTACTCTTTTTTTTCTGTTCCATATTGATTCTTGTTACTGTCAGCTTAAACCCATTATATCCAAAACCAAACTGAGCTTCTTCAAATTGGCTTTTTCTCTCAGCTTCCCTCAGAGGCAACACCATTCTCCCTGTCACTCAGGTCAGAAACGCTGGTGACCTCTCCCTTGTCCATCAAACTCCTGTATCTAGTCAGTCACCAGGTCTTATCTATAGTTCAGATGCATCTTTTCTTCTCTGTTCCCTCTACCCTGGCCAGGTCCCTCTTGACTTAGGCCTGGACTCATTTGTTGTTCTCGGCATTTTCTCCTCAGCCCCACGTGTGAGCAGGGGAGGATTAACCAGTAAGCAAGGTATGCACAGGCTTACTTGTGCTTACTTACAAGTCTGTAGTACACAATTTCACATGGGTTTCACCACAAAGATCTGGCGAAAAACAGGTGAAATTGTGCACTACAGGTTAGTAAGTAAGCACAAGTAAGCTCTTGCATACCTTGCTTATTGGGTAATCCGCCCCGAAGGTGAGGTTTACACAATACGCTGTCATGGACTTCACCACATCGTGACAATTTAAAATCTGCCAAGTAGTAAAGCACAATAATCTGTTATTGCCACAGCTGTTTGTCAGTGACGAAAGTTTACAGTGGCTCACTGCCGGGGTAGAGATAAGTCAGCTGCTGTGAATTAACCTTTCTCTCCCACATGGGAAAGCATGGGGGGAGACCACCAAGGCAGAGAACCCGCTCCACTCTACTTCTGTTTTCGAAAGTAAAGCTTTCACAATTTCTGGTGCTTTAATTATTAGTAGTATTAGATGCTTAGTAGATAACAGTATTTCAGGACACTATTATTGAGATGGAGTCCCTGGCTGGTGCAAATGGTCAATGTGCTCCACTGCTAACACAAAGGTTGGAGGTTTGAGTCTACTCAGAGGTGCCTTGGAGAAAAGCCCTGGCAATCTACTTCAGAAAAATCAGTCATTGGAAACCTTATGGAGCACAGCCTACTCCGACACACATCGGGTCGCCATGAGTTGGAGTCGACTTGATGGCAACTGGTTGGTTATTATTGAGAATCATTAGCTAGGACTATCTGCCAGGATTACTAGCTGGCTTCGGCTTGCAGCCTCTCCTCTTTGCTGAGGGCAGGACCTCTAGGCCAGGGATTCATAATTCGGATGCCTTTAGAGGCCCAGCTTGTCAGTAAATGCTTCTGGGGAGCTCTGGGTGTCAGGCAGCAGGGAACAGTGGGGATTAGGTAGAACTGGCTGACATCTGCACTATCTCACCAGAAAACCAAACCCATTGCCATCAAGTCGATTCCGACTCATAGCGACCCTATAGTACAGAGTAGAACTGCCCCATAGGATTTCCAATCTTCATGAAAGCAGACTGCCACATCTTTCTTCCACGGAGCAGCTGGTGGGTTCGAACCACCAACCTTACAGTTAGTCGCTGAACGCTTAACCACTGTGCCACCAGGGCTCTGTTTAAGGCATTCAAATTCAGACAAAGTCCCTGGGCTGATCCTGCCCATCTCTATCCTTCTGCCATCCCTGTTAAGAAATCTAACAAACTAATCTATTTAAAAAATCTTTATTATGTCATAAGTTTATAGAAACTCATTTCATACAACTGAATCTAAACTTTGCTGACTCCCCTTCCAGCAGAGAATCTGAGGACGCTCGTCTGGTTCCTCACATGAAACTTTCACCACCACCTATCTCCTAGTATCCTGTCCCAGCACCTGAAGGTTTGGGGTGGCAGGACTGAATCCCATTGGTTGTGTAAGGTGAAGGGTTCTCTCTGAATCTTTGGTGTAAGGGCATCTCAGAGAGAAATGGTCAGCAGTTGTTGGCTGTCTTTACACAGGGAGTGGTGGGTTTCTTTAGCATTGCTCACCCGGCATTCTGAGTGCCTGCCTGTCTGTTATCTCTACCCCAGGACAGGGGAAGAGAGGACAGAGGATTCTAGAGAGATTTTTGTTATTAGATGAAATGGAGACCTTTTTTTTTTTTTTTAATCTGCCCAAGCATTCCAGGCCCAAAGCCATGCAGGATGCTGGAAACCCAGGGTGGGGAGAGGTCTTAGAAGAGTGGAGGAGAAAGTGTGAAGGAAGGGGGAATTAATCCATTAGGTCTAGGGAGCTGGCACAGATTTCTCTCCTGCCTCCAGCTCTATAGCTGCTTGTAATCCCTCCTTACTGCTGATTTTGAGAAGCACATAGGACCTAGAGATCTTTGGCTTAACGTCCTTTCAATATAGAACACTTCAGTGGACACTTATGTGGGCAGGTAAAGAAGAGTACAGTTGTGTGACTTTAGGGACCTGCCCAAGGCCTCTGCCCTAAATGCACCCCCCAAAAAACAAACAAACAAACCCTTGTGGTACCCAATGTACCACCATCACAGATTCTTCTCTTTAGATATTGAGTTTGAGCTATCTGAGAATCTTCTTAAAATGCAAATACCTCTACCCAAACACATTGCCATTGAGTTGATTCGAACTCATAGCAACCCTATAGGACAGAGTAGAACTGCCCCATAGGGTTTCCAAGACTGCCACATCTTTCTCCTGTGAAGTGGCTGGAGGGTTCGAACCACTGACCTTTCGGTTAGCAGCTGAATGCTTAACCACTGCACCACTGAGACTTACTATGGAGTAACACAGTAACAAACAGGGCTCAGAACTAAGTTGTGGGTTTCTCTGCTTGCCTAGGTAGAGCTGGATGGGGCAACCGAGTCAACATTTTTCAAGTTGTTATTCTGTCTTCAGAAGATTCCTTTTTCCACATTCCCCCATTTGGACTTGAATGGCAGGCTGAGGAGAGAGCCTTTCTCCCATCTCTGAAATTCTGTATACTGAACTCTGTGAATTCCAATGACTCAGTGTCTGGCCCAAAAGGGATATACTTGCACAAGTCCTTTGGAATCATACCAGTACCAGTTGCCGTCTAGTGGATTCCGACTCATGATGACCCCATGTGTGTCAAAGTAAAGCCGTGCTCCATAGCGTTTTCAATGGCTGATGTTTTGAAAGTAGATCACCAGGCCTTTCCTCCAAGGTGCCTCTGGGTGGACTTGGTTAGCAGCCAAGCGCGTTGACCAGGAACTCCCTAATGCTTTCGAAAATAGAGGCTTCGCCTTCACACATCCTGGGAGCTATCTGGTGCCCAGTTAGGCAGAGTTCTTTATGCTCTTTTTAGGGTGATTGGCTCCCACAAGGTGCATTTTTTCAAACTGTGATATATTTTATATATATATATATATATATATATATATGTATATATATATAATAGAACATTTGGAGTGTGCACTTCTTACTGGGACTGTTATGTGGGTGAGGTGGCCTCCTCAACTGCTGCCTTAGGAAAGCCAAGATGGCTCCCACACTACAGTGGTTTGGTGTTAGACCTTGAGAGACAAGGTCCAGCATATAATTAGTCCAGTGCACTGTTCCTCCTTCCTGGGCTGGGTTCACAGAGAACACTGTGGGTGTGACATGTATATGCCCTCTGACCTCCCCAGCTTCTCAGTCAGTTCTCAATGGGTGGAGTGAGTTCCCGGATTAAGGGGAAATCTGTCCCCAGAAGACATTCTTTTTTAAGGGCTAAGGTAAAATAACCTGGAGAGGTTCATGGAAAGTCTTCACTGTCTGAAATCTGGACAATCTGCTGTGCATCTCTGCTCCCTGTGGTCTGTGAGGGGTCATAGCCTAGGGGCAGCCTGGCAGACAGGAAGACCAAGCAGCTCCTTCTCAGAAGAGTCCACTGTGACCTCCCAGCTCTTCTTTCCCAGGGTGTGTAAATGGGCCATATGGTGTCAAGGTTAAGAGAGCAGGTTCTGGAGTCAGTCTGCCATGGTTCCAGTCCTGGCTTCTTAGTCAGGTTACCTTGGGAAATTCATTTAATGGCACTGGATCTCAGCTTCCTCATCTATAAAATGCAGATGGCAGTGGTACCTAGCATAAGATTATTGGGAAGATTTAAAGTGATAATGCCTATAAATTACTTGGCACAAAATCAGATGCACTGTAAGTGTTTTAAGAAATGATAGCCCCTACCATCAGTATGTGAAAGAGCCTGCAGGAGAGGCCAGGAAGATGGCAGGAGGGCTGTATATTCAGTGGCTTCTCTGTGATTGATTCAGTGTCTCTGATTTCTTCTGTATTCCTTTCCTTGCCCAGTATTGATCCTCCAGAAGGTGGAGAATGGAGACCTAAGCAACAAGATTCTGAAGATCACTGACTTTGGCCTGGCTCGGGAATGGCACCGAACCACCAAGATGAGTGCAGCAGGGACATATGCTTGGATGGCACCCGAGGTGATTCGTGCCTCGATGTTTTCCAAAGGCAGTGATGTGTGGAGGTAAGGTCCAGTGGTGCAGGGACAGTGTTCTTCCAGGTGTATTTTGACTGCACACATGCTTCAAGACTTGGAGAATCAAGGTTACATAGAATCCTAGACACTCCAAGTAGGTCTAAGTGTACCCTTAGGATCATTCTGCACTAATTCTGACGTTGTTAGGGGATAGTTTCCAAGGTTTCCATCTACCAAAAGTCCCTCCAGTGCTGTGGACAGTACCACTTTTATGCCAGCACCTTGGTGTCAGTGATTGCTCTCTAGGAAAGGCCAGTAGGTTCCAAGGACAGCGTGTATCCCCATTTCTGACTTGCGGGATGGTAAAGGCACCCAGTCTCACTGCTTGAGACCCTCCCCAGGGTCATCCTGCTTGCTTAGCAGCAATGCTGAGCTTTTAGTTAAAAGGCTGTTACTGGTGGACTTGGAAAGGACGTTAACCAGGTGTCCTCACTATAAGCTCCTGAGCATATGAGGATTCTTTGTGCTGTCTCTCTTTTTCTTGGTGGGCTGGTTAATTTTCCTTTCCTGTTATTCAGTTAAACCTTTAGTCAAAACTCTGTCTATTGGACATTGATCTAGAAATGGGAAAAGAAAGATCCCAAGTATGTACCAAATACTGTAGAGTCACAGACTAAAAATGACCAACCATACCCCTACTAATTGTCAGCCCAGCATGTTGCAAGGACGTGAATCTATTTTAAAAATCTTGTCCCCACTGACAGAATGAGCAACTAGAGTACACATTCTCATGTCTTTGGGCAGTAGCATCACCTTGGTATACAAGAGAAAGGACTATATAGATTGTCATTGTACTTCAGCCTATGAAGTTGTTGCTTCCTGATGTGTGAGCTTTGGAGATATAAATATATATTTTTAATAACTTTATTGAGATATAATTCACATATCACAAAGTTCACCCTTTTAAAGTATACAGTTTTAATGGTTTTCAGTATATTTACAAAGTTGTCCATCGATCACCACTGTATTATTTTCCTGGGGCTGATGTAACAAATTAACACAAACTTGGCTACTTAAAACAACAGAAATTTATTCTCTCACAGTTTTGGAGGCCAGAAGTCCAAACTCAAGGTGTCATCAGGCTGCACTGCCTCCAGAGGCTCTAGAGAAGATTTCCTTCCTTGCCTCTTGCAGCTTCTGGTGGCTCCAGGTGTTCTGTATCTTGTGGCTGCACCATTCCTATCTTTGCCTCTGTGGTCACATTGCCTTTCCTTGTCGGTCTGTCTCCAATCTCTCTCTGCCTTTCTCGTATGAGGACACTAGTCATTGGATTTTAGGGCCTCCCTGGATTATCCAGGATGATCTCCTCCTTTTAAAATCCTTAATTTAATTACATCTGCAGAGACCCTTTGTCTAAATAAGCTCATATTCACGGGTCTAGGCATTAGGACATGGACATATCTTTTGGGGGCCACCATTCAACCCACTATAACCACCGTCTAATTTCAGGATATTTTTATCAGCCAAAAAAGAAACTCCATACCCATTAGCAGTCATTCCCAAATTCTCCCTTTCCCAGGCTCCTGGCAACCACTAGTATTCTTTTTGTTTTTATGGATTTGCCTGTTCTGGATGGAAACCCTGGTGGTGTAGTGGTTAAGAGTTCAGCTGCTAACCAAAAGGTCAGCAGTTTTGAATCCACCAGGTGCTTCTTGGAAACCTTATGGGGCAGTTCTACTCTGTCCTACAGGGTCCTCATGAGTCGGAATCGACTTGACGGCAACAGGTTTTTTTATTCTGGATATTTCATGTAAATGGAATCAAAATAAATGGCTTTTTATGTTTGGCTTCTTTTTAGCATGATGTTTTCAAGGTTCATTTATGTTGTAGCTCCTATCAGAACTTCATTCCTTTCTATTGCCAAATAATATTTCATTGTATGGATATATCACATTTTGTTTGTTTATTCATCAGTTGATGGACATTTGGGTTATTTCCACTTTTTGGCTATTATGAATAATGTTATGAACATTTGTATACAGGTTTTTGTGTGGAAGTATGTTTTTAATTCTGTTGGATATATTATACCTAGGAGTAGCATTGCTGGGTCATATGGTAACTATGCGTTTAGCTTTTTGAAGGACTGCCAAACTGTTTTTCTATAGTGGCTACACCATTTTACATTTCTACCAGCAATGTATGAGGGTTCCAATTTCTCCACATTCTTGCCCACACTTGTTATTTTCCATCTTTTTGATTATAGTCATCCTGTTGGGTGTAAAGTGTTTTCTCATTGTGGTTTTGATTTGTATTTCCCTAATGGCTAATGTTGTTGAGCATCTTTTCATATGTTAACTGGTCATTTGTATATTATCTTCGGAGAAATGCTTATTCAAATCCTTTACCCACTACGCCACCAGGGTTTCCTTAAATTTAGTTGTGTTTTATTGTTCAGTTGAACGAATTCCTTATATTTTCTGTATTCAAGTCCATTATCAAATGTATGATTTACAAATATTTTCTTTCATTTGGTGGGCTGTCTTTTCACTTTCTTAATGATATCCTTTGAAGCACAAATGTTTTTAATGAAATCCAGTTTATCATGTCTTTTTTGGTTGCTTGTGCTTTGGTGTCATATCTAAGAAAACACTGCTTAGTCCAAGGTCATGAAAGTTTACCCCTGTGGTTTCTTCTAAGACTTCAGTGGTTTTAATTCTTTTATTTAGGTCGATGATCCATTTTAAGTTAACTTTTTATATATGGTGTGAGGTAGGCTCCAACTTCATTTTTTTGCATGTGGCTATCCAGTAGTCCCAGCACCACTTGTTGAAAAAACTATTCTTTCCTATTGAATTGTCTTGGCATCCTTGTTAAAATCAGTTTGCCAAAAATGTGAGGATTTATTTCTGAACTGTCGGATCCATTCCATGGATCTATATGTCTATCCTTATGCAGGTATACATGGTCTTGGTAACCATTGCTTTGTAGTAAGTTTTGAAATTGGGAAGTATGAGCCCTCCAACTTTGTTCTTCTTTTTCAAGATTGTTTTGGCTATTCTGGGTCCCTGGAGTTTCCATATGAATTTTAGGATCAGTTTGTCAGTTTCTACAAAAAAGTCATCTGAGATTTTGATAGGGATTGAATTAAATCTGTAGGTATTATCATCTTAACAATATGAAGTCTTCCAGTTCTTGAACATGGAATGTCTTTCCATTTATTTAGGACTTCTTTAATTTCTTTCAGTGATGCTTTATAGCTTCTGTATATTGAATCTTATTTATCACACATTAATTACAGGTGAAGTAGCTAATGCAAAGAAGAGAATTTTTCTTTCCTTAAAATATCTGACCATATATTTTTGAGCCATATACTGATACTCAATTGTTTTTGATCTGCAAAAACAGCAGTTTTGTATGCTTCAAACATATGCTAATGAGATTAATTAATGTATTAATTAAGCTAAGCTGCTATTACAAAGACACAGATATAGTGGCTTAAATAAAGTTGAAGTATATGTCTCTTTCAAGGAGTAATCCAGCCAGTCCAGCTAGCAGGGCACCTCTGCCCCACGAGATCATTCAGGAACCCAGGTTCTTTCAGGCTTGTTGCTCCATCATCCCTTAGTGCATTGTCTTTGTCTGAATGGCTAAATCTGAATGGCTGTTACTTCTGTATTCCAGCCTGCAGAAAAGGGGGAAATGAGCTTAACCATGGTAAGCAGCTGGTCCTTAATTTGGAGATGACCCAGAAGTTGTACACATCTCCTCTGCACACGCTCCATTGCCTGCACTTGGATATGTGTGCACACCTGGCTCCAAGGAGGCAGACAGATGTAGGCTCCAGCTAAAAGGGAAGAATGGATTTAGGGGAACAATCAGCCACTTGCCACATTACAGTTTAGTTTATCTTTCTCCATGGGAAGCCATGACTTCTTACTCACATGGCTGTTTCCTACTTCCTATATTCCTGCTAGGCTTCTTTCCTGAGCCTGGCCCTGCCATTATGATGTTTGGACAGAGTTACCTCAAGTATCCAGGCATATTCTTAGTGGGAAAGGAAAGCCCAGATGCCTAATGTAGGGTCTAATCCTGGTGACAGAAATGGTAGGCAGGGGGGGCAAGGCTGTTACAGGGGTGAGTCCCTTATGCAAGGAACAAGATGGGATGTTTCAACTTTTTCCCAAAGTATCCTTGTTCCAAAGCTTAAACTCCAGGACTTGCCCTTCAGCCATAGATCCCAAAAGCAGATTTGAGGAGCCTCTGGTGAGAGGTATCTGATGAAGTTATTCTACTCTCTGAAGGGAATAGCTTGGAGGTAAACCCCAAAGCAACAGTATGTTGGATGAAATGTCTTGGAAATTGTCGTAGAGTCTGCTAGTGGGTCTCTAGTTTAGAATTGTTCCCAGGACTTAAGTCTCCTGACTCAGCTTGGTTGATGAATGTGGTTTGAAAACATAATTCACTGTGCTCCCTTCCAGCTTTCTCAGTTTACATGCTGCTGGATTTCCTGTTAGGACACAGTTTATTGAACCCATTAAATAGGCTTTTTAATCCCTCCCTCCTCAAGCCTACTTATCTAAGTGGCTCTGATCTCACACCTTTGCCAGAGTAAAAAGTGTGCCCAGTAATATGTGTACACCAGTAACAATGTTTACCACCTACAAATGCTTAAGGACTAAGCTCTGTGCGAAATGCTCTATACCTTTTATCCCATTTTTTCCTCACACACACACACAAAACAACAAAACCCACTGCCATCAAGTCGGTTCTGACTCATAGTGACCCCCTAGGACAGAGTAGAGTGCCGTCATAAGGTTTCTAAGGCTATAATCTTTATGGAAGCAGACTGCCACATCTTTCACCTGCGGAGTGGCTGGTGGGTTCGAACCACTGACCTTTTGGTTAGCAGCCAAGCACTTAACCACTGCACCACCAGGGCTCCTTTTATTCCTCACAGCAATCCCCCAAAATAGGAATTATTATTTCCCTTTTACAGGTGAGGTAACTGAGGCTCAGAGTTTTAAGTAACGTGCCTGAGTTCACCCAAG